CGGATTCGAACCCGCGACCCTCAGATTGTGAGTCGAGCGCCTTATCCACCTGGAATACAAATGGAGTACTTTATTTGTGTATTGTTGTTGTTTTTTAATGTTGATGTTGTGGCATATCCAAGAGTACTTCCTTTTCTTTTTGACACACCCTAACTCTTAACAGAAAGCATAGGAAGAAAGATGATAACCTACTGATGTGGTAACGACAGCAAATAAAATATAATTATTTCCAACTTACCAATCAGGGGTAGGCCTGTTATTTTGACGCTCTCTTCCAGGTCATCGGGAAAATTCTGAATCAGTGCTGCCCCCTGATGTTCAATGGCTGTGTACACATAATTTATAACCTTTTTATTTTAACTAACAACATAAATCAAATCAAATAAATAAAATGAATGAACGACGAAATGAATCTCGACTCACGATATGATCAATTAAAAGTTGGCAGACGATAATGGATTCTAAATATCCGAAAAGATGACCGCACCATGGACCAAAACCTACTCTCGTTGTTATTGGGCAGCTTTTTTTAGATGAGATGTTAAACGCCGAAGCTGGCGAAGCAGAGAAATTCATTAGGCCTAACTATTGGTGATAAAATTACGTCTGACTTTTGTTTTTATTACATTTCTCTAAGTTAATCCATTGTAGGTTTCAAATCAGAGAAGTTTACAAACAGCATTTGTGATCTATCTCTTGTAGCTGGTACGTTAAATCCATCTTTGAAACACATAAACATAAAAAAAAACATTACCATCCAAGACTACGTCTGTTACGTTAGATCAGTTTTAAATGAAGAAAAGGGGGTGAGAAACAGGGGTTAAATTGGGATTTTGAAAGAGGTGGAACTCCCTTTTGTGATCCACTTTGACGTTCCAATCAACGCTAACGGTTTTAATCGTCAAAAAGCGGGATTCCGTTCCTGATCGTTCCACCCCAAATTAACCCCTGATGAAAAATGGGTGATTTGACCAAAATCTATACAGTTTACCAAACATGTAAGTATGTGATAATATTTGTACTGATGTCACAGAAGCCCAGTAATTCATGACACTTTCTTTATAGCATTTTTCACATTACAGTGTGTATTCAGCTCGCAACTACGTGCCATACTTGATACAACAAAAAATCAACGAACAAAATAGCCTGCGAATCCCAGCAGGTGGCGTTGCCTTACAAAATTGTATCATCGCTACTTAACATGTGCCAAGTCCAAAAACCGCCCATTCTTTATTAAAGTAGTAGCAAAAACCAAGATCTGGGTGAATGATTACGTTATGACGACAACTGTAGTAATGGATAATTTCTTACTTATTACCACACCTCAGGCTCTGAGCATCATCAGTGACGTAATGGCGGCGATGCTTTTGATGTATAGACATTAAAAAAAATGGAAGTATTATTGTTCTTCGTCAGCTCCTACGCGATAGAGTTTTTTTTTTTAATCCATATATCTAATTTCTGTGTAAAAAAAAAGAAAACTTAAAAAGTCGCCGAAAAGTTGTTTTAAAAACACCGTGATTAATTTCCATTGGATTATCAAATGAAAAAAAAAACAACAAAAAAAAACACGGAAATATGCTAAGAAAATAATAAACTGACGAAATCGGCATTAATGCAATCGGACTTTCGAAACTGCTAAACTTGGCACAGCCTCTGCTAAATAGCGACTTCTCACGGAACACGTGGGAAACACACAGGAATGTTGAAACAGTAGGAATTACTCACACCAAATGATGGGTCGTTGCCAGTAAATAAAGTTGAATTAAATAATTAGAAACTTTGTCAATACTTGAATAAATTTCCCCGAACCAATCACGTGATATTCTGAGAGTATAACAAATAATACCAGTTTTAAATTTTGTTTTTTGTTCTAGAATTTTCGTGCGAAGACACGGAAAAAAGTTAGTTGATCATTACCGTCCCCCGTTTGGACCCGATCTGATAAGACTAACGGAAAGGCAGCTTAGTCAATTACACCTACCGCCAGCTCTTGAGATACTCTCGCCTAATCGAATAGTGAGATTTGACTGGTACTCTTATGCCGCACCCACGACACCAGAGGGCGGAGCGCCTTTTTTTTTCCGACAAAAGGCCGCGAAATATGAACTTTCTGATTCAAGGTCCAGCCAAGTAAGATATCTGTTAAATGAGGACCTCTCTTGATCACAAAAATCGGTCAAAGTATCTCTCTAATGTTTTATAATTTTTTAAAAACTATTACCGCAACAAAGAAAAACAAAACAAAAACCTTTGAAACATGTCAAAACACATTGAAACAATTCTCACATTTTTTTCCATCGAACAAAAGAAAATTTTAATAAGTTTATAAACGGAGAAAACACGGTTTATTTTTCAAGTTTTGCTGGTACGTTTGATAATAATGTTTGCTTATTTGTTTGTCATTAAAGCGCAAAAGGGCTATCTGGGTTCTGCCCACCCCGAGTATTGAAACCCGGTTCTTTAGCCTCACAAGTCTTCAGACGTACCGCTGAGACACTTGGTTTTTTTTGTTTGTTTTTTTTTGACAAGAACGTATGAAGAATAGAAGATGGCTTAAATTAACCCTTTCTCTGAGGCTGCTTTAAACGATTGTGGAATTTTGGCGAGCCGTACAATGTAAACAGCGCACTCGCATTCAACTGCCGGAGGTGAACCGTGCCCTATACGGCGAATCAGCAGTCAATGGGTTCACAAGTTGAACAGTACAAAGAACAGGTGATACAGTAACACGTACACAAGGCGGGCATGTGCATCAAATTATACGCAGAGAACATTAAGCCCTCAAGTTTTACTACTTTATGCCAAGTACGGCACTCAATTCGCAATAGACGATAAGCGGGTTCGAATCTCGTCACCGAACGTGCTCGCCCTTTCAGCCATAGGGACGTTATAATGTGACAGTCAATCTTACTATTCGTTGTTAAAGAAGTAGCCCAAGAGTTGGGGGGAGGGGGATGGAGTTCACAAGCATGTCAATCTTACTATTCGTTGTTAAAGAAGTAGCCCAAGAGTTGGGGGGAGGGGGAGGGAGTTCACAAGCATACCACCCTTTCTAGTCCATCACTTCAAAATCAAAAAACGGCTAGCGCAGATAGCTCTCGAATAGCTTTGCGCAAATTTCAACAAACAAAATAAAACGATTACTTCATACACCACCACCAAATAAATCTGTGCAAATAAATAGAACGGGAAATGTTGACGAGTTTCTTGTTAAGCACAAAAACTATACAATGGATTATGTATCCGTGCTCGGCCCACCACAGGTATCGAAACCCGATTTTTAGCGGTATAGACCGGGGGGGGAGTGTTGAAGACAAAATCGGTCACAACTGTTTACAGTTCGACTTTCGAATGACTTAAAACAGAGCCCCCTAGTGGCACCGCGTTAATTAATTTTTTTTCATTTCGACTGGTATAATTAAAGCAATGATCGCACTATGACACTCTTGACTTTCAGACTGTAACATAATCCTGGTGAGATTCACCAACAATAAAAGTTCCACACTACGTGGATTAACAATAGAATAGTTTCATGGATTAACAATAACATTACGTAACGGGCACGTTTAACGTTACGTCATTAAAGAATATTCTAGTTCTTCAAAACCATTAAGACGGATGATGAGTTTTTTGTTTTTTTTAAAAGATAAATTATGTAACATTATATTAGACGATGAAAATTAAAGGAATTGATTTATGAATTGCTATTTCTATGCGGTTTATGACGTAAGCACCCTAAAGAATGAACAACATGCCGCCCCAGATGGCAAAGTGTCTGAGATATTAAAAATCACCATTTACGAGCTCTAGCGGCCACTGCAAACAAAGATGTTGGTTGATATCCATATTCAGTGGTTGTAGAGACATAAAGAAAACCCGAGGTCAGATTTTTATGGAATTTTCAGCATCTACAAACACGCCTACCAGATACAGGATAGGTGCTATTTACAAAGTTTTAAAATTTTACCAAAAATTCACACGCATTTAAAACCGCTTTATATTTGTACAATAAATCAAATACTGTCTCGTTTTGGTAATCAAAAATCATTACAAGTACACTGAGTTTTAACACAGACGGACAAACCAATGAATGAATAGACAGAGAGACTAAGCAGTTAAGCAAGCAGATCGATAGTGGGGGTTTGGAATAAAGCTTTTAAAAAGTTTGTTTTAACTACTGACATTCCTGATTCGTCCAAGTTTATATAATTATAAAATTAGAATAAGCAATAAAATATAATTAAATATCTTAGTGTCAAAAACTGCCGATAACGTTAGGCTTAGCGTTAAACAGCAAATCATTGTATCATGAATGACAAAACACACCAGAAATAAAAAAGATAAAAAAATCTATAATTATCAAAAAACTGCCGAAAACATTAGGCTTAACGTTAAACAGCAAGTTATAGTATCACGAATGACAAAACACACCAGAAGGAAAAGATAAACATTAAATTATCAAAAACTAATGAAAAACATTAGGCTTAGCGACAACAGCAAATTACGAAGATTTTCATTAATTTGTCCTATATCACACAAAAACGCGCAATTAAACGTGATTCGCGCATAATGTTGGTTATTTGTACACATTTACACAGCAAGTTTGCTAAAATGTATATTATGAATGTTCATAAAAACTAAGATATGTCTTGCTTATAGCAACTGAAAGTTTATTTGATAATAAATATCACATCGTTCTTGACTTATATTTAACAAGTTATCTTTGACGATGAATTCATCAGTGTCTTAATGTGCCAGTGTAACAGTTGTTGATAAATTGGCGCTATATAATTTCTAAAACATTTTCCCGAGTCTGGATTTCGAATCTCCTTTTTTTCGTATTGCAAAGAGAAAAATTGGCTAAGAGGAAAATCATACTCCATCTTTTGGCCACTTGTTGAAATCTATATATTCTGAAGAGACAGTGGCATATCATTAACTTGTATTTTGCCTTCGTAGTGGCTTGGAGTCCAAAATGTTGCCCATAGTGGCTTGGAGTCCAAAATGTTGCCCATAACGTTCACAACTATCTAAGTCCAAATAGATTTCTAAAGAGACTGCATAATTTTGGTACACGGAGAAAAAAATATACAGTAAAGATTATACCAAGAACACTGAATTATCACCCCATTTGCACTCGGGTACATGAAACAACAACAGTTTTTAAGGATGTCTAAGACGTTAAGACTCGTGATAAGTAAACAACACTGTACTTCAACAACAAACAGAAACGGAAAATCTCTACAAACAACAACAACAACAACAAAAAAATCCTTTGCATTGCTTTTTTCTCTATAGCTTGGTTGACCTTAATGACAGCCTGGACGCTCTGTTTAAAGTATTTAGCACAACAACTAGCCACTAATGATGGTGCTCCAATCATCTTCTTCTCAGGATGGAACAGTTTCTAATACTCGTTTATTATCTGTAGTCTTCATCCTTCACCTCCCACCCCTTTAGTTGTCTCATTTCAAGAACAGGGTGTCCCAAAAGCCTGGTTTCACGAGGGAATGAAACTCCTGCATGATTTATTCGATGTGTTGTCCCTGTGTGCTCGAACGTACCATTTGTCGTGGTCGTGAGACGTTTTCAGTTGTGTTTCGACATCTTGGGACAGACATATCGAGCATTATGTGAAAATTTCATTTCCCCCATGGAACCAAAATTTTAGAGCACCCATAAATAAATTCACTTACTTCCACAGAGGTTCTAAAGATTTTTTTTTTGTAACCAGATTTGAGTTTTTTTTGAAAGATTTGTACTCGAATTAAAACAGCGCGGTGGTCAGTGAGCGCGTGTACCAAAACTAACACATACCTTCATTCACGTGCAGCTCCTTTGACCTGACAAATTTCCCTGCTACGAGACCTTCTGGATAGTGTTCTGTAGCTAAGGTCAGATGTAATCTTCCTTTCATTAATTTCCGCCGATAGACCTTTGGAATCATCCTCCACACACCGCACATCTAAAATGGAAAGCATATCTTGCTTAAAACAACTTGTCGCAGACGCACACAAACAGTTCAAAATGAAATCTTGCCTCAAAAGGTTTTTTAAACACTTCTAAACGTTTAGGGTCAGAGGTAGTGGAACCTCACAGTTGTCAGCGTTTTTGAAATGATGTGTTTTTTTTTGGGGGGGGGTACATAAATGAATACATCTCTACACATTGTATGGGCCCGGCATGGCCTGATGGTTAGGGTGCTCGACTCGCAATCTGTGGGTCGCGGGTTCAAATCCCCGTCCTACCAAACATGTTCGCCCTTTCAGCCGTGGGGGTGTTATAATGTGACGGTCAATCCCACTATTAGTTGGTAAAAGAGTAGCCCAAGAGTCAGCGGTGGATGATGATGACTAGCTGCCTTCCCTCTAGTCTTACACTGCTAAATCAGGGACGGCTAGCGCAGATAACCCTCGTGTAGCTTTGTGCGAAATCCATAACAAACAAACAAACACATTATATGATGCTATTTAATTCCTCCTTGTGACAAAATCTTTCTTTTGGATGTAAACCCTCAAAGATTTTATTTGTTTTTAAGCGCAAAGCTACAAAATGGACTATCAGTGTGGTGCCAACTATGGGTAAGGAAAAATTGAAACCCGATTTGTTGTGTTATAAGCCCATAGACTGAGCCACTAACAAATAACTCTGTATTTGCTATTTTCAACCCGAACGATAATATCTTATGCGACACATGGGGTAAACAGTCTTTTGCAGACATAGTCATTCTTAAGTTACAATCGCTGACCGGAGTCGGGGCATTCAGGCAGGAGCATCCGCCGCCTATGCGGCTACTCTTAACCGAAAAGTGGGATTGGCTACCACAATTATAATTCGATGACGTAACATGATTAGATTTTTAAACCTTCAGATACGCAGCCCGAAACGCTAATCATTAAGCTACGTCCGGTTCAGTAAACAGTTATTTTTTTCCCCTTCTTATTTCTAGTCAACTAGGCCACCGATATATATTAAATTAGAAAAGCAGGGTTCGAATCAATTTCACATTGTCTGTCGATCATCAGGTATTGATCCAAGTGAGGTCGTAAACCAGCCCTGACACTCGTTTACCGTTATTTATTTATAATATCGGACTCGAGGGCTTACATCACACGCATTTGTTTTTACATTACTCTTATCTAACAGAAGAGATAACAACTAAACGAGAAAACATTGCTCGTAGAAAAATGAACATTTTATAGCTCTGTTTGTTTGTAGTTGAGCACAAAGCTACACAAAGGGCTATCTGTGTTCTGCCTACCACGGGTATCGAAACGCGGTTTCTAGAGTTGTAAGTCTGCAAACATATAGTCGTGCCATGCTCGTAGAAAAATGAACATTTTATAGCTCTGTTTGTTTGTAGTTGAGCCCAAAGCTACACAAAGGGCTATCTGTGTTCTGCCTACCACGGATATCGAAACCCGGTTTCTAGAGTTGTAAGTCTGCAGACATATAGTCGTGCCACTGTGGGGGTAACATTTTTACAAACTAGCTAATACTATTTTATTCACTCATCTATCTCTCTCTACAAAATATATCCAGTTTAATTTGTTCTGGTTGTTGTTAAGTCCAAAGCTACATAATGGAATAGCAGTGCTCTGCCCACCACGGGTATCGAAATCCTATTTCTAGCGTAGGAAGTTTGCAAAACTTACAGCTAATCCACATTGCCATTGTAATATATATATATATATATATATATATATACTAGTTCAGATATCTCGTTACCTTTAAACCGTTTCCATAGTGATGTATCTTGTTTATTTCGTGTTCTTCCAGAATTTTTCCGTCAGAATCAGTGAAACGCAGAAACGTTGGTGTTTCTGATCTAATAATAATAATAATAAAAACAAATTCAACACAAAAACAAGTTATTTTGTATGTAAACACTATCAGAGATCCACAAAACATTTACGGTCAACTTAGTATATTTTATTGTAACAGTACTTCTTTAAATACAAGATTTCTAGAGTAATACAAAATAATTTTAATTGCATACACTGAATAATACACTTGTCTTAGGCCTAACATTAGTTAAGCCTTTATTAACTACGGCCTGTACTCGATAAAGAGATAAATGAACACATTAACTTGTGTACGTTTTTTGCTTTAGTTTAGTTAGGGATAAACATTACCATACTTAATACTATCAATAAATAAACTTATAATGTTATTCTACGACCTAACGTTAGACCTTTTGAAAACTTTGATAAGCTTTTAATATGTTGTATAAAATGTCTACTAAAGTATATTTACATCCGCCTTTTGAGGAAGTGCGCGCGCATGCGCATTTAGATAGAAAGGTGCACGCGCATTTTCAGGCGAGACCAAACTGAGTATTATTATAATAGACTGTTACGATATTTTCAACTATCACTTACCCCACATAATGAATCGTGTAATGTAACTTTCTTTTAACATAAGTGAAATATCCTCTAGCAGCGCTCTCTGTCGGCACCATTGGAGACAGTCCTCTTCCTGTCAGCAGAACGGTAAATTCTGTAATAAATTAGGCATTTACATCGTTAGATTAGATGAAAGGATCTTTGTATTGTTTAAAATAATGAAACACTAAAGTTCCATTTACAGTTTAAGAGTCAATTTCATTTATTAGGTTCAGTTCGGAGTCTTTTTTTTAAAAATCTACCGATAGGGAGCAAATAAATTTCGTTTTCAAAGAAAGAAAGAGGATATTATTTCAATAATATTGTCTCACGAAACAACATTTCACGTGTTTCACCTGGTGGTATATAGTGTTCCAACTAAACAACAATTGACTCCTGAGGATGACGTTGTAACGTCGAAACATGTAGAGTCGTCAACTTTTTGAAGGCCATATAGATAGGCCTAGATAAAATGCTTTTAATTGTGTATCAGTTTGAATATTATTTATGATTTTAACTTTATACACAAGTGCCAAAATACTATAACAATTCATACGTTTCACCTGGTGATATACGTTACTTATACACACAATCAAATATTAAGTTCCGATCAGAGCAAGCTATTTACTAAGAGCGAAGTTAAAAATGAACCCGACAAAAAAGTACAGCTAGTTTGTTATACAAGTTTCATTTTTCGCACCTTCGTTGTTAACGAAATGTTAATGGAAATAATAAGTGAACAAAAATGTAGACAGGGACAGATCTTGGCGTCGTCTTCGTAGGGCCGAAAAATATTAATATTTTTAATTAACGTTTCACTTACTGTAAACACATATACACACACGCGCACACTGTCGTACATTCACAGCAGCCGAGTGACATTTACGTAAACATGACTGACGAGTCAAAAACGTGGTTACGCCACGAGGTCAGTTAGAACCGGCTAAAAAAATATCGTCTGCTCGATATTACGCAAAAGTGAAGGCTAACAATGCCCAACAAATTACTCTGTTTACGCACTAAACTCCCATTAATGCTCCCAATATTTCTTCATTTAGTTACTAACGTCCAAAAAAGATTTGTCATGACGTCAGTTTCAACGATATAGAGACAAAAAAATTAAAACTTTCCTGTTGATTATCTTTCAATAAATCAAACTGATTTCAATTAATCTAAACAACGGTGAGAATTATCATATAAACTACAGGATTCAATAAATAAATTTGGATTTTTTTTTTTTGCTTCTTACACCATTTTGTTTGTTTGTTTATTTGGAATTAAGCACAAAGCTGCACAATGGACTATCCATGCTCTGCCCACCACGGGTATCGAAACCCGGTTTCTAGCGTTGTAAGTCCACAGACATACCGCTGTGCCATACTCCATATTGTTTTAAACTAATACAATATCAAGCAACAAACGAAAGACTCGCGCTAGCAGAGATATCTATAGATCCGGTAACGACACAAACAAGAAAGGTAAATCTCGTCTCTAAGCCTAATCATGCTGTAAAACTCGTTTAGACTTGTTTAAAAACGAAAGAATAAGATAAATATTTGACGATGGTTTGTCTTTTACTGTCATTAACTGACAATGACTTGTCTTTTACTGTCATTAACTGACAATGATATGTTTTTTACTGACATCAACTGACAAAGACTTGTCTTTTACTGTCATTAACTGACAATGATTTGTCTTTTACTGACATTAACTGACAAAGACTTTCTATTACTGTCATTAACTGACAATGGTTTTTTACTGTCATTAACTGACAATGATTTGTTTTTACTGTCATTAACTGACAATGACTTGTTTTTTACTGTCATTAACTGACAATGGTTTGTCTTTTACTGTCATTAACTGACAATGACTTGTCTTTTACTGTCATTAACTGACAATGACTTGTTTTTACTGTCATTAACTGACAATGACTTGTTTTTTACTGTCATTAACTGACAATGGTTTGTTTTTACTGTCATTAACTGACAATGACTTGTTTTTACTGTCATTAACTGACAATGATTTGTTTTTACTGTCATTAACTGACAATGATTTGTTTTTTACTGTCATTAAGTGCATAGTGCCAGTTGCCATTCGATAAAACTTCTCGTCTCAGTGAGAGTTGTATGTCAGTTCATACTTCGTTTTCCTCATTACGATTTGTCACCAGAATTCATGGAGAACGGCTATTTTTAGTTATAACCAGATGGCGCTAACGTAGTAAAATAAATCAAATAGGAATAAAACCATCGAAGTATTTATGGACTGCAAGTCGTCGCTTTGAGCGTGCGAATGTCAGATATACCATCGTCAAAATTGACTATATCTATTGTTTTCTTATTTTTACATTACTAATTAAAAGGTTATCAATAAAGATGATGTGAATATTAATGTTAGTTTCAATTCTAGTTGTCTAATATTTTGTGGTGATGGCGGTGTTTGAGCGCAAAGCTGCATGGCAGGGAATCGAATCCCAAATGTTAAGAGTTGTAAGTCAGTAAACTTATCGACCACATTTTTGTAGTTTACAGTTTGAAAATCTCGTCTTTTTCATTATTTTAGAATTATAAAAATCAGAAATGAGCATTTAGCAAAGAAAGATTCAGATCACAAAATAAAAATAAATGGTTTTTCGATGTTCTCCAGTAAGGTGTACTGTATTATTTTTTTTAATAACATTGTCATTGGTTAGAATGTTTAATGTATATTTGCTTTTACTATTTTTAATTCCTTTACTAATAAATGTAATAAAAAATATATAAGTTTGGAATTATTGGCATAGTGTATGGATTTAGTGCTAATCTAAACCTCGTGAGTGGGATGTTATTGGGATTACGGCCGAAAGTACCGCTTATCACAACAGTGGGAATATCGCTGTTGATTTCTAGTTATGATCTACATATGTAATTTGCCTTAATCGGAAGTTAATGTTAAAAATGCATATTGTTTCTGACATACATAAAAGTAGCCAAACGCACGTAACTTCCCCGTGGACAATATCCGTTTCTTGAAAATTGGAAATTTGATTTTTTTTTTTTACAAATACTAAAGAGCGTCTGAAAACATACGATATATTAAAAACAAAATACTAATTTAGATACTAAATAAACACTGAACCCCCACCTTTCATTTTTCTATCATCATCTTCCTCGCCTAATTTTTGGCTTGCAAGATGCTCCTCTAGTCCTAGGTAATCTGAAAAGTAAAATAATAATTATGACGAAAAAATAAGAAATAAAGATGGCAAACCTTAAGTTTAAAAAATATTTTTTTATTTCCTCAACTTAAGAAGTTGTTTCATTGAAAATGTACCCTCCTGCTGGTCTAACATTTTTTTTTGGACTAGTATATTTGTAGTTGAGCACAAAGCTACACAATGGGTTATCTGTGCTCTGCTCACCACGGGTGCCGAAACCCGGACTTTTTAGCTTGATGAGAGTGCAAGCACTCAATACTGAATATTGTATCCTTATAACAATCGGTCTATTAACGCAATGTACGTTAAAAACTAGGACTTGCGCAGGCGCATTATGATTTTCCGATCGTTCCGAACAGTACATTTTCACCGCTAATCTCCCTAAAAAAAAAGAGGGGGGGATTTAAAGTCACTATGGGGCACCTAATTCAATCAATAATACATTAATTGAAAATGTGTTGAACTTTAGAGATATTGCTAAAAAAAATTAACGTGGAAAAAAGAACTAACTGAAGTTATTCTACCAGATCACGATGTAAGTTCTATAGTACCAGATCACGATGTAAGTTTTATAGTACCAGATCACGGTGTAAGTTTTATAGTACCAGATCACGGTGTAAGTTCTATTCTACCAGATCACGATGTAAGTTTTATACTACCAGATCACGATGTAAGTTTTATACTACCAGATCACGATGTAAGTTCTACACTACCAGATCACGATGCAAGTTCTATTCTACCAGATCACGATGTAAGTTTTATACTACCAGATCACGATGTAAGTTCTATTCTACCAGATCACGATGTAAGTTTTATAGTACCAGATCACGGTGTAAGTTTTATAGTACCAGATCACGGTGTAAGTTCTATTCTACCAGATCACGATGTAAGTTTTATACTACCAGATCACGATGTAAGTTTTATACTACCAGATCACGATGTAAGTTATATTCCACCAGATCACGATGTAAGTTCTATTCTACCAGATCACGATGTAAGTTCTATTCTACCAGATCACGATGTAAGTTCTATACTACCAGATCACGATGTAAGTTCTATTCTACCAGATCACGATGTAAGTTCTATACTACCAGATCACGATGTAAGTTCTATTCTACCAGATCACGATGTAAGTTCTATACTACCAGATCACGATGTAAGTTCGAATCAGCTGCGGTACTGTCCATACATTATAATAATGATTAAAAACTAAATGAATTATACCTTATAAATAATAGCGTATCAATCTGAAAACAAACATACTGATTAAAGCTGCAGGCTGAAAACTTCCTTTTTTTGTGTTTAAAAACAAAGAAAAAAAAATTATTTTTCTTTCCTTACTAACCAGCTCTTGGCATAGTTTTAAAAACATATTACGCATTATGTTTAGTTCTTTGTTTATAAATTTTATTTTGAATCATGTTTATTTAACTTAAGAGGATCAAGAGTAAACACAGAACTAGAAATAATGTCCACAAGTACCAGTGTTTGTTCCTAAGCAACCCGGTAAGTATTACTGTAACCATGTGCCGGAATACAAAAACTGAAAGATAAATATTTCTACCAATGATAAACAAATAATGTATTGATGAATCCATTATTTACCACAGTCTGTTGCTAAGCGACGAAGCGAGTCCAAAGAGTGGTGTTATAAAGGGTGCGCTTCAAAGAAAGACGAAAATAGTTAGTTTTTTTTTACTAAGTTTTGAACGACGTAAAGATGGCACTACTAAGTTTTAAATCACGAAAATTGGTATGGTTAACATTATGTTTCTTTATTCAGTCATTCCCTCCATTTTTTTTATCTACTTTATTTTCCCTCTTCTCATTTTAATTATCTTTTTTTTGTCAAGTGTCGAAAGCAACACGGTAAAATCCACAAACTTCAGTGATTGTATATCCTGCTTAATGGTGATAACCCTTGTAATAAGATTATGCCGTTTTCCATCTGTATGTGTTAATAACCTGAATATCCAGCATTGCAGGTTAGCCTGAAAGAGTGTACTTAAGTCTTATTTTGTTTGCTACATAATCCTCGTGTTTATTAAAACTTGAACATTTAAACCTTGCACATACGTTTCTGGAGCAGCAAGAGATTCGTGTATAGCTCGCCCCCCTCCATCCCCTTGTTTAAGCACTTGACAAGCCACTGAATATATATATATATATATATATATATTTACACTTAGCCCATTTTTAAGTTAACGCAACGTAGAAGTAAAGAAGGAACTTATTTGAAAACGTCTCTGTGCTGCGGTTCATTGCACACAACACGGTCTTTATCTAGCGTTGTAACAATAATACACCACGAGCTGAGTTTTTCCCAGGCAAAAAAAAACAAAACATAGAAGCTACTACTAACGGACAGACGTCCAGGAGGATCTGATATGCAGTGTACTAGATCAACTGCTAAAGTTATAACTAGACAGTATTTAAACCCTAGAAACACGGGCCTAGTGGAGAAAGTTGCCGAGAAGCCAATTAGCCTCGAGGTGCCTCGGGTTTTCGATACAAACTCATGTAACATTTCAATGTCAAAAATTCTGCATACGATGACTCACAACGCTGGCAAAAAAAAAACAACAACAAAAAAAACCAACATCGAATCCCTCCCTTCGTTCTCCTACAATGGAAGAGTTATAAACAGAGCTTGGGTTGTTACCAAAACACATGAAATATCCATACTATAGTTTCATCATACTCTAGCACCCAGCTGCTAAATATGTAACTATTTATCACTCCCATTGGGAGTTTCCCCAAAGTTAAATCGTGTTCAATAAAAGTTAGAAATCACACTTCTTTCGTCTCACGTGTTAGCAGGTTTAATAATAGATATACAACTTTTCCGAAAATACGCAAACAAGGTTGGTAGGTTTCACACACACACACACAAACAAGGTTTGTAGGTTTCACACACATCCCTCGTATAGTTATTATGTCACCGAAACTCGCGATTTTAATTTTTCGGTAAAATAACAGAATTGTTTTTGTTTTGTTTTATTTCACAAAAAATGTAAAAATGAAGAAGTGAAAATTAACGTTACTAAACCTGCTATTTAAATTAACGTTACTAAACCTGCTATTTAAATTAACGTTACTAAACCTGCTATTTAAATTAACGTTTTTAAATAGCAGGTTTAGTGTTTGAGTAGTTATTGTTTTTTTGTTTTTTTAGAAGAAACCAAAATTGGGCTATATGATTTTTTTCCACCGAGGGAAATCGAACCCCTGATCTTAGCGCTGTAAAACTGTACTCTTAACGGAGGACTTCAGTCGTTAACCTAGAGAAAGTACATTCACAATCAGGCTTACCGGGAGACTACTGTCCACCAGAGAGCGACAAAAAATGCATACGTAGTGTATCAAATCAGAACGCAACATTAAACAAATATTAACCGCGCCTTCAATCACTTAATGTGTACACAGCATCTTTCCAAAAAAACCATTCCGAAGGAGGTGGGGGGTACATGCACAATAGTTCTTTCCCAAAGACCAACTTTAATGATTCTAGACGTCACTGTTAAGAATAATTAGGGTTCATAGATCGGGTTCTGATGCTTCAAAAAAAGAAGAAAAAAAATGTGCTTCGTACGTTATTCTTTTCAAGAGGGCTGTAAAAAAAAGAAAGGTACATTATGCGCCATTATTTGCAATAAACGAATAATTATTATTATTTGGTTAAGTATTATTTTCCAGTAAAGAATTATAACCCAATGCTCTAATTTGTAAGTTCTTAGATCAATAAAGAGACATACGTAAAGTAATTATTAGTTTTAATTTTAGTACTAGCGAAATCGTGGGCCTTTGGTCCATATTTACAAGGGTGGGCCATATTTATAGGGCCGCTACACTGCAGATTTAATGCCTCAGTTATATTTTGCACTTTTCAGTTTAATTATCAGTGTCGCAAAAATTAAACTTTAATTTCTTTAACGAAGTTACGAACGTTAATTATTAGGCCTATTTATATGCTCGAATGTAAATCAATGCCAGATTTGGGTTCCGTCTTCGGGAAATCCCCATAAATGTGTTTTCGCGAAATATCTGGGTTCCCTAAAGTGTTGGGTGAAAATTTTTACCTTTGTGCAAACCTCAGAGCGGAGACAATTCGTTTGGCGCCACTTTAAAAGTTGGTGAGTCCAGCAGTTTAGAAAAAAGGGGTTTTCGGGAAATCCCCGGGTTCCCCAAGGAGTGGGGTGAAACATTTTACCTGTTTGCAAACCTCGGGAACGAGACGATTCATTTGGTACCACTTAGAAGTCGGTACGACCAGCAGTTTAGGAGTCACGTGACACACAGACACTGAATCTTTATATATAGACAAGCCTAACGTTGGGACGAACCAAGTTAGATCACCTATAACACGCTAACACTAACATCCTGGATATATTGTGCTGTGATAAGTACGGAGCTAACATTCATTCTAGGTCTATAGTGGACATAAGAAGAGAAGAAACGAAAATTGTTTATATAAACATACAATTGTTGTATAACATATTATAGATAATTTGTACAAACATACAATTGTTGTATAACATATTATAGATAATTTGTATATTATATAAACGTACAATTGTTGTATAACATATTATAGATAATTTGTATATTATATAAACGTACATTGTTGTATAACATATTATAGATAATTTGTATAAACATACAATTGTTGTATAACATATTATAGATAATTTGTACAAACATACAATTGTTGTATAACATATTATAGATAATTTGTACAAACATACAATTGTTGTATAACATATTATAGATAATTTGTATATTGTATAAACGTACAATTGTTGTATAACATATTAGATAAATTGTATATTGTATAAACATACAATTGTTGTATATCATATTATAGATAATTTATATATTGTATAATGTAAAAAATTCAGTAACTTAAAAACATTACTTTATGAATATTAATTATATACGATCCTGTCGCGTAGGTCATGTAAATAATCGAGGCGTGTTGACATCCAGTGTTCAGATCTTG